CCGCCACCGCCGCCGCCGCCGCCGCCGCCGCCGACACCGCCACCGCCACCGCCGCCGCCGCCGCCGCCGCCGCCGCCGCCAACGCCGCTCTTTCGTACTTCAGTACCGAGAGTTCAGTTCGAGTCGCGAAGCCGAGCTATTTGGATTATCGACGCGCAACGCCGCTTCTTCCGATTCAACCAACCATGAGCACCAAGGAAAATAACGAGGTCGCCGTTGAGAAGGTGACGGAGAACGACAAAGCGTCCGCGGACGCGAAATGCGACATCAAGGGAATCAAGAGGCCAGCCGAGGTGAGTGCCGCTTCCTTACCGCCGCGCTTACTCCGTTCCGCTCCGCTCGTGCTCCGACTGCTCCGAGAGCCCCGCGATCCTCGGCTCCGCGACGTTTGCGACATTTGTCCCGTGACACGTTCGCCGCGCGCTGACGGCGAGTCGTCCGCTACGCCGTCGTCGGACTCGGGGCGCCTGTCCGGCTGGGGGCAACGCGACAGGCGGACGATACGAGGGAATACCGAAGGTAGACACACGCCGTCGGCCGGGGGACATTTGGCTCGCGTCGACGCGCTCCGCGGCCCAACGCCGCCGATACGGATTTTCCCGCCCGCACGGCGTCTTGTATGCACCGCCGCCGTGGGCCGGCGGTGCCGCGCGTAGCGCGGCGAAACGTGCTCCGCGCTGCCCGGCGCCGCCGAGCGACGGCACGGCGTAGCGAGGAGGATGCCGCGCCGGCCGGCGTTTCTTCGCCGGACTCCATATTTCCCTGCGAGCGACCCCGAGCGCAGTCGAGCACGCTCGATCGGACGCGCGGCGCGCGTGCAGGGCACGTCTCTCGCACGCCGCGCAGTGCTCTTTTCCATCGCGAGCGCGTAGAGCGCGCGAGGGACGCCATTGTGTATTTGTGGGGCCACCGCGAACGCCGAGTCTCTCTCTCACTCTCTCTCCCCCCCCCCTCTCTCTCTCTTTCTCTCTCGTCTCTGACCGCTCGCTCGCTCGCTTGTTCTCGTCCGATGGCTGGATGATGATGATGATGATGATGATGATAATGACGATGGCGATGACGACTCCTACCGGAATAAGCTATAATTACCGCGTGCCGCTGAATTCGAGGCAACGCTGGAAGCCTACGCGTTCGCGCGCGCATAGGAGGGAAGAGAAGGAGAGCGTAAGCGTAGAGCGTTGGAGCAGCGCGAGAGAGAAAAAGAGAGAGAGAGAGAGAGGGAGAACGATCGGAGTAACGGAGAGGATCTCCGCGGCGCCATGTGCTCGTTTCTCGTACGTGTGTCTCTCTTTTTCCCGTCCGGCTCCGGAGTTGGTCTCCTCGCGGCTTTTCGTCTCCACGCGCCCTCTGGCTGCACGCGCACGCCGCCGCCGCCGCCACCGCCGCTGCCGCCGCTTTTGCATCTCGCCGATGGGGCGCCATTTTTACGCGGTAGTGTCAGCGTCGCGATCCGGAAAAGCGGGCGTCCCGCGCATTTTTCCGATCTCCGCCGCCACCATTGTCGTCGTCGCATTACCGCCGTCGTCACCCGCCGCCGTGTCGGTTTCCATCATGGCGGCCGAAACCAAGCCCGCGTTCATCAGTCGCGCTGTCTCTCTCTCTCTCTCTCTCTCGCTCGCTCGCTCGCTCGCTCTCCCCGCTCCTACGCGAACGCTGCTCTCTTTCTACCGTAATTGATCGATAATTCGCTATAAGAGGGTTAATCGCGCACGACGGTCGATCGATAGACGACCGACGCGTATCTCCACTCCAGGTCGACACGTTGCCCTGAAATTGTTTACCGAGCCGCGCGCATAAATGCCCGCTACTCGGACCTCTTCCTTTTCTCTCGCTCCGCTCGTACAAGTATCCCCCTCCCATTCTCCCCTCTCTCTCTCTCCCTCCTCGTTCTCGACACCGCCGACGTACGGTCGGCGGCGGCGACTCGCTCCGTCCTTCTCTTTCTATCTTTTCGTCGAAGGTACCCCACTTGCGCAGCTAGCGGCAACGCCGTGCATTATATACCCGGTGTGCTCTCCTACCTCCCTGTTCTTTTCGCGGCTGTGCGGCGGTCGCGCGCAGCGGCGCGTTACTACGAACCTTCGAGAAAACATCGTTGCCGCGATTTTTCATCTTAAATCGCGGCGCACACCGCCGCCCGTCGCGTCCCGCCGCGTCGCGTCGCGTCGCGTCGCCGCGATAGGCCGTATTTTTAGCCGATAATTTACCATGCGATTGCGTCTCCTCTGGTCTCCTCCGCGTAAGGCGAAACCGGAGCGAGCGGTGGAAGGAAGGAACGTGCGAGCGGCGGAAATCCCAGAGAATTCCTCCTCCGCCGCGCGCGCGCGCGGCGATCGTCACGTGGAAAGGTCGGAGCGCCGCTCGCACGTACGCACGCAGGTCGACGCGTCCTTATTGCATCGGCAAGGCTCCTCCTTCCGAGTATCTATTAGCTCGCTAGATCGCGGCCGCGCGCGCGCGCGCGCGCGGGCAGCGGAAAGCCGCTGGAAAACACCATTTTCTCTCGCGCGAAAAATACACACGCCCTTTTTATGCACGTACGCGTGTAAAATGCGTGACACATACACACATACACAAATATACATACATATGTATAACGCGAGATTAGTATCGCTCCGGAACCGACGAGCGGGAAAAGGCGGGAAGCCCGAGGCCGAGGGAGAAGAGTTGAATGGGGAATCGCGTTTGCCCGCCGTGAGTACGCTCGCTCCGCTCCTTCAGCCTTCCAAAACCACCGGGATCGTTTCGCCTCTCTCTCTCTCTCTCTCTCGCTCTCTTTTTTTCTAGCATCGATACGACCGACCGCAGTCCGACGATCGAACGGCGTTTCCCTATCGAGAGAAGAAGAAGGCGGGAAAAGGCGTCGCGTCGATCGGATAACGCAGTTATGGATCGATGTTCCGCCAGCCAGAAATAACTTATTGCATTTAATGGTTATCGTCGCGTCCCTTTCTCTCTCTCTATCTCTTTCTTCCTCCCGCGGCGCTCGACTTTTCGCGCGCGCACCTTTTTATCGCGCAATTATCTTAATTAAAGCGGTTGCACGCGTTTCAAACGCGCGCGCGCGCTGCCGCGACGCCGGTTGATCCATCGTCCCTCGTCACTCGCCGATATCTCGTCCTCGGGATTGCGATGAGACGCGATAAGGGAGAGAATTCGGCGCCGGCGATATTCCGAGAAGCGCCGAGACTCGCTTGACGCTCGCGCTCGCCGCAGGACTGCCGATCTCCCCCGCTGATAATCCGCCGATGCGATTCACCAGCGTCACGTGTCAGTTACGTAACGAGCGTACGCACATCGCGCCGATCGTTCGCTCCAAGAAATTATTACGACGGCGCTGGCGCGATAGGTTATGAGCGTGGGTTATCTGCGAGACCTCGCGATTGGGAACGGATAGATAGGTAATCGTCGCGGGGATAACGAGCGCGGCGGCGTCGTCGACCAACGGGCGCGAACGTGGCCGCGCTGTCATTCACGCCGAGACCTCGTACGCTCGCGACGTCTCGACGAATGGGAGAGCAGCAGCAGCAGCCGTCGAGTTCGAAGTAACGCGCGCGTCAGCTCTTCGATCGGGTTACCATAGTTTGTAGAACGCCGCCGGTAACCGATCCTTCATTAGCATTTTATCGCAACAGGTCGACTCCGTACACGGTGATACAATTACTCCAGATAGAAAGAGAGAGAGAGAGAGGGGAGGGGGGGGAAGGAGCTTAACATCGATTGAGCTCGAATGTCTCGATCTTGCTCCGGCACTTGCCGCCATGGAAGCCTAACCGCGCGCCGCCGGACACTTCCGGTATTATTGTTACTCGATCGGCGCGATCGATCGCGCGGCCTCGCGCCTCCACGCAGCCCGGCGTCTGCGTCCCGGCGACGCCACGTGATATCCGTCCCTCGCGCGGAATGTCCGTGGCTCTCTTTAGTTTAGATTTATACTCTTATTCGAAGGCTTCGCGTTGCACGACACTTGGCACGCCGCGCTTCGGTATCTTCCTCCCTTATCTTCCCCCCCGTTCACCTCGTCTCGCTCGCTCGCACGCGGAATTGCACGCAGCGCGAACGTATCCCCGCCGCGGCGCGCGCGGCACCGCCGTCCGCCAATCGCCGCGCTCTTCCCACCGCGCGTCGTCGCTCCGCCCGCGTCCGATTGGCCGGCGTGGCGGCGCGCGCGCATCCGAAGCCGCTTTCCCATACCCGCCGATACACACGGCGCGTGTATGCTATTACGCCAGCCGGCAGCAGCCGCCCCACCGCCATCTTCACCTATACCACCACCACCACCGTCGTCGTCGTCGTCGCCGTCGTCGTCGCCGTCGTCGTCGCCGTCGTCGTCGTCGTCGTCGCCACTACCACCACGCTCGCCCGTCACCATCATCACCGTCGCCATCAACTATTACCACCACCACCACCACCGTGGTCGGTCAGCAACGCCGTATGGTCACGAGTCCGGCGTTACCGACGCGGCTCTCGCAAAACCGGAGCGACGTTAGAATATGCCGAATATCGGAAACCGTTGCGTGCGTCGCCCCGACATGTCATCTTTCTCTCTCCCTCTCCTACGGAGCGGATGTACGCGCTACCTTGGCGCGCCCTCGTCGCCGGCGATCTCGATCTCTCGCTGTCGCGATAAATCGCGATTCCGAACGATACGCGCGACTCCCCCCGGGGGATTCCCGTCGGCGGCGTGCTTTCAGGTTGCCCGCGGAGCGAACTCCGCGCGCTCGGCTGCTGGCCTACCGTCTCCCCCCTCCCCCAGCCCTCTTTCTTTCCACGAAATCGATAAACTATGATGCTTATTGCGTTATGGCCGTTACGGGCCATCGGGACTGGATCAAGGGCATGGTTCTACGACTCTCGGAGGGCGGGGAGAATTAACGTTGCGCGCGCGCGTGTAGGCGCTTATAGAGTCGCGTTCCCCTTTTGCCTATTTTATGTAAAGGACGATTAGTCCCGTTCTCTCTCTCTCCCTCTCTCGTGCGCGTGCGCGCACGCACGCGCGCGCGCACATACACATACACACCTTTAGCACGCGCCGCTTTGAAGTACGCGGGGGCGAAGTCACAGGACAGCTCCGCGCCAAGCTAAACGTTTATCGGCAAAGTGGTGATACTTTCTACTACCTGTTCTTCGTGTTTTCGGCGCTGCCGGATCGGCGTACGCGATTCCCTCCGCCATTTCCCGTTTCCTGTCCTACCGTATTTTAGCGGACAGGGAAAGTCCCCCCCCCCCCACTCGCCGCCCTTTCCGCGCCACCGTGTTTCTTGGCGGGAAGGGACCTTGTCCTCTTCTCGCCGGTCGGCGCGCTTTCCCCTCTGTCCTTCTCGCCTCTTCCGCTGGCGCCCAATTTTCTTTCCTTCCTGTCCGTCCGTCCGTCCGTTCGACGCTAAAAGAGTTGTAGTAGCATGCCATCTGTACACGCAGAACGGAGGGTGTTCGAATACAAGTCCGCGCGCAATCGAGATCGGTAATGATCCCTCGCTTCTTCGCAGCCAGGCTGCTCATTTATCGCTGGACGTTTGATTGAAGTAAGCCGTTTCTTTTCCGTGTTACAGGAGAAAAGTGAAGATACGAAGAAACAGAAAAAGGAGGAAAACGGAGACGGAGAGGTAGAAGAAGAGGAAATTGAGGAAGAGATCGAAGAAGAGGAGGAAGTAGATGGCGATGGAGAGGAAGACGATGATGACGATGACATACCAGAGGGTGAAGAAGATTTAGAAGAGGGAGAAGGTAAATAGGCGACCTGTCCAACTGTATCTCGGACTCCCCAACGAGGCTCTCGCTCGCTCACGCTCGCAAACGCTTATTGTTACAGATGAGGAGGACGATGACGCGGAAGGTGAGGTGGAAGGTGAGGTAGAAGACGACGAAGACGACGCATAATGAAAAAAGGGAAAACATTATGCAATTAAGAAGGGAGGCGTTAGGCACGTGACGACATCATGGTCGATTTTCGGCAAACTCAGCAAACTTACTCTCATATTGAGTGGTTGGTAACAATGTTGATATCCTCGTGCCCAATCCGTGTTATTGGATCCTCTCTATCTTCCGAACGAAAAAGTAAAATATACCACCTCACCGGAATTGTGGTGGGCTGACTCTCGTGAGCAGTTCTTTACTTGGCTTGGCTCTTCGCAATTCTGGTCTAGCCGCCACCAAATGCTATTAGGTAGTTTGAATGACAACTGTATATTCGTCCTGAGGATTCGATAAGTTGATCTTGTCTGCTAACTAGATTCTTATTTCGATCGTTCAATCGCCCATTCGTACGCGCGTGCACGATTCCCAAGACGAATCTATCGTTTTATCCGAACCACCTACTAACTGGTATTTGCCGACATCTGGCTTTATTCGTCGGAATAAGAATTTTTTAACAAGAATACTTATTTAAGATATAAAAAAAAACTATTATATTTAAATAGTGTAAAACGAATATTCGAAGGAGATGATTTTTTTACATTTAAAATCAAATTTACGTTTGTAGTTCGACGAATGTCTCTCACCTTGTACGTGTGATATATTGAGTTCTTCTTCTCGAATCGAAATGTGTAATTGCAGTGTCTTCACAGGAGCGCGAGGCCATCGAGCAGAATTGAGCGATTCATACGTAACATATACGGCAAATAAATTAAGTAAATAGGCACGAATGGACATCTCTCGGCATTCAATGTATACTACAATGAGGAAATCTTAAGAAAAGAAAAGCGAAGAAAAAAAATAGACGTACCAGCCGCTTCGTGCTCCTGTTTGGTATAGAGACAGGAATTAAGATTAAATGCAACGCTCGCGTCAAGTAGTATGGATGAATAATATGTGACTTTAATATTGCATAATAATTATACATAGTATGTATAAAGTTATGGGATAAGAAACATTTTATTATTAACGATAATATGTAAACGTAATATAATGCGGAGAGGTTGTTACACTTTAGGCTTGGGCATAGATAAGGGAGAGCATCGAACAGTCAACTTGTAAAGTGTAAGGGCCCTATCACCCTTCTCTCTTCATTTCAACCAACTATATCATTTTTTGTAGAAGATAAGAGTTCAATTACACACATAGATGAATCTATATATATAAATATATATATATAAAGTCTATATATTTATAACTCTCCAGAACTGCCGTACATATGACGCGAAATTACAAAAGGAAAAAAAAAATCCGGACTACATGTTGTGACAGTTATGTAATAAGTACTCTCCCTATTTTCGAATATTCTCATTTGAGTGTAATTTGAGCGTTTCAGTTACTTCTATCTATTACGATTTTATCTTGACTTTATTGTGGACTATTTTTCACGGCAATGATTCTCAGACTGTTGCACGAACGAGCCATCGGTATATTTATTCATATATTTTTCCACGTGGTCCACGTTTCTTAATAACGACATATACACCAGGTTGTGTCAATGGTGTCGAAAAAATTTTAATAGTGCATGTTGATAATGACAATTATTGATTTGCTGAATCAATCACTGAAACAGAAAGATCGCTCTTTGTACAAAAGTCGGCGAATCGTTGCGATTGGCGTGTCCATGCCGCTACTTATTTTCGGGAGACTGTTCAAAGGGTGAAGAGACATTGCGGTAATACACTGTATCATATAAGCATAATAATTAAATAAAGGTAATGATAATTTTGAATGCGAGAAGATGTCCCGTTTTAATGTACAAATATTTTCGAATGAGATAGTTAAATAAAACGCAGTTAGATCAGAGAAAATGAATTCGTTCTCGTAAGTAGTGATGAGTTTAATATCTGAAAAAAAAAAACTATGAGGAGACGAGCGGTGTAATGGCTGCTCGAAAACCACACGGACTAAAAATCCCGCTGTATGGAAACCAAGGAGATGGAGGTTGGACCGTGTAACGTTGATGATACTTAGAAAGAAAACAAAAATCTCTTACCGTCGCACGATTCGATGGTGCAAAAGAAGGGGGATTCGTATGCTCCTCATAAGTGTGTGTAACGTGTCCAACAAAGCCGATCGATGTCAATGTGATGCGTACAGATCATACCATCTCCGGCAGTCTCTGTTAATCTACGGTTTTATACGCAATCTGCTGCTGTATTTACACGTGTTTGCTTCAAGATAGTAACTTGACGATGACAAAATTGGCAAAGAACTATCTTTAAGTACAGGTGCCTGAGCAAAATCAGTACTTTAGCGTTCATAGTATACTATACTATACATACTTTAAGCATAGGCACATTTAATTTTATTAAATACAACGTCAAGCCCCGTTGGCAACACGTGCATCCTGAACAAAAAATAAAGAAATAAATAAAAGGGAAAAAAAGAGACTTGCGTTTTGTACTGTGCCAAGCCCGACAGAGTACGGTACTCTTCTTCGCGCTCGAGTACTCGACGCGATTCGCGAAATTCACTTAATGGTGCTAACGGGTCTTACAATCAATCAGGCTGATCGCCCACGTACCGTTACACCCCTACGTTTGTTAGGTAAGCATAAAAAGGAAAAGTTCAAGACGTCAAATCCGGCAAATCTGTGCCGACAACCACGTGTGTCACACGATTGAAACGCAAACGAAAAATCCTAGGCTAAGAATTTGGTTTGTGTGTTCATAAGTCTTGTTCAAGCTACTTTTGTACAGGATACCATTGCATCATCTCTTTCAACGTATAACAAGTAACCGACACACCACAGACTATATATTTCTGCCCATTCCATCAGAACTGAAACTTTCATTGTATTTTTAAGTAAATACATTTTGGAAAACAACACGGATGCCTTTTTTATTCTTCACACGCGTGTGAAGAGAAATATTTCTCCCCCGCTCATAGATTTTATATATATATATATATATATATATATATATATGCATAATGTATTGCTATATCCTTGCGAATACATTTGTGCAATTCAGGGACGCCGCCTGAGAAAGAAGATTGTAAAGTAGTGGTGTTATACGACAGTCGTGTGCCGTATATATACACATGTAAGCTACATTTTTACATTGAGATAATCCGAGCGTTCACTGCCGACTTTTTCACGCCAAGTACACGAGAGCGCTACTTATCGATCGATGTTACGTAAATATGCAGTCGTAACTGTAAATATCCACTTTTGTTGTATCTTTAAACAGGATATTAAGTGCTCGCAAAATGATCCGACACAGTAAACTGACGATCGACGCGTGTACGTATCGTTTTACCGTTTCCTTCATTTTCCATTGCGTCCGATTTCCATCTGATGTCTATGACGATACTTTCGTCGCGGGACATTTATGCACGACGCACGATGTACAAACTAGAAATAAAATCGTGAAATTTACACGCGAGATTGTCGAGGCCAAATATTCTTAATTTATAACAACATTTTATTTACATTATAGGTATATGGCAAATAATTAAATGTAGTTCTTAGATATAAGATACCTTACATTTCCCACACGCTAATAAATAACCTGAGATGATTGTAAAAATATGTATATTTTACATCCAAAACGATCGTTGCTGCATTAATCTAATAAAATTGTCCGTTAGATTAGAGAATTGCGCTGATCCTTTTACTCTTACACGTTATTCGCAAATGAAGCTCTTGCAACACGCACAACGAAGTACCTGGACGGAAACGTTTATCAAAAAATTTTTTGAGTACGCCGATCTTGTAACATCTCTCCGCCGTACGCCTTTCTTTGAGGAAACGTTAATCCTAAATATAACAATCGTATGCTAAATATATGTACAAAGTGCGGTTTTGTAGCTTTGCAAAAAGGATAAAAATGCGATAAGCAATAGAAAACGCATACGGATATTTATCTAATGTATAATAATTCGCAGTATTGCTAGCAAGCTTGCTCGTTTTATCCACTTTGACACAATTGCTTCTGGTTATTGCGCGTGATTTTTCCTTGCGCGAGGAATATCGTACAATCTATATACGTATGGAAAAACAAGTTATGAACTTTGATCACAGTCAGAGCCACTACCTCACGCATCACGCAATCAATATTTCGTATCAAACTGCTTCAATAACGTCTCAATCTGTAACATCGGCAAACGAACGCGTCGCGCCAATTATGTCGGTTTCAGATCACCGACTGGACAATTTATCTTGGGTAGATAACGCTGGATCACGCAGATAAATTGCCTCCCTATGCAGTAATTATCAGATAAATTGTATCACAAGCGAACTAAATATCAAGACTCTATATTATTTTAGCTGATATTTACCCACGAGTATATAACAATTGCGTATCGATATTTAGAGCAGACCTCCTTTCGTTCATTATCGTAAAAGCCTGCTTCATAAACAATGTATAAATTTAATGTAAAAATTAACAAGATACAAATTTACGTCTTCTAACACGCGGTTTTTGAATGCGATGTCACTTTCACTCATCTCTTATAACAGGCCTGTGGTCGGTTTGCCCATTTCGGTCGATTTTGCTTATTTCGCGAAGTCAGCCTAGATGCTACCCAGTCAGAAATGACTCGTAGATCGATGTCAAAACGACGTCGAATCGACGTCAATGTGACGGTTTCGATGTCGATATGACGTCGATCGACGAGTCATTTCTGACTGGGTAGGGCAAACCGACCACAGGCCTGTCTTATAAGAAATAAGATTGATTTTTTTGAAGGCAGTGAAGAGAGCACTTGTGTAAAATTGCAGCTGAAACTCGAGTTTCTTAACTGTAATTTCTCCATGACCAATCTGACGTTAGCCAATGGAAAAAAAAGTATTCTACCAACAAGAAAATCATGCGGACAATAGACATCGTAAGACGCCTTTCTCTATATACTACATTATGCTTGGTGCGAAATTATATCTTTTGATAACAAGTAGTTAGTTATGTCCTCAGCCACCGTCTTCTTGATTAGTTTTGAGTATCTTATTCAAATTGGAGAGTTCTTGGTTTATCCAAGAAATATTCTCGTTTATGTTATTTTCTTCGTTGTTGTTTGCTTCGGGCTAAAATCAGACAAAAATTCATTTAAAAATCCTATATCACCTAAGTCTCAAGTTCAAATTCCCGATTGTCACCCTACATACATATAATACACAAGGTATACTCACTTGTACAGGATCGCAGAGGGATAATCCAGTTGACAAGTTTGCGGAGAGATTTGCTCCAAAATCCGCGAGCTCTGCGGAATTCCAGTCAAAATTGAATTGCTGATTGTCCATGTCTAGCAGAACCGCGGCTCCTGCAGCCTCTGATTTATACAACAAAATACAAATGATTAAATTGCTTGAAATCTTCAAGACACATTGTACACGCATAAATTGTATAACAATAGGATTATAACATCAGAATGTGTATGCGAACGCACGCGGAGCTCGCGAAGCGAGAGCGTGCTTTTGAGCACCGGAATCGCTACAAATTGAGCGCACGGGTGACGGCGTAACGCGAAAATATGTTGGCTCTAACGTCTTTCACACAAAGACGAATGTTCGAGAAACAGCTTGACCGTGGAGCTGGCTGGACGGTTGGGACTCGAAATCCAACATTCTAATGTTTATACTCCTCAGCTGAGGTCACCGAACGATCGAGAACGTGGAGCGATCGAACGACTACACGAGACGGAAATCTTCAAAGCCCGCAAATCTGCTCTGAAATAACGAGCGGAAATCTTCGCTTTCGGAAGCGCTTGTGTGCGCTCAGAGACCGTTCGGAAATCTTGGCGCGGAGCAGACGGGATCACGCGTTCGCGCACTCCACGACGATCGTTCGCAGTAATAACGAATTTAACACTAGAAATTATCGAAGAATAAGAACGTACGAATTTCTCGTATGCGGGCGCGCACTGTGCAGTGGCGCAGGCTCACGAGATAGAGTTTGATTAGAATTAGATTCCCGGCACTTGGTCGCACGCGGGATCGAACAAAGGAAACCGTAGAATCGTAAGAAATACTCGGTACGCGAAACGGTCTTGTAACTGTGCGAGCTAAAAGACGTCTGACCCGTCCCCGGGCGCTCCGGACGTTAAAAACAAAACACACCTGTCGCGGATTTGGCGCCCGGGGATCGAGAGACTCGAGATCATGCTATCAGTACGTGCGCTCGCGAGTCACCGTAACGCGACCGACAGGTGACGCGACAAGTGTCATCTTCGCTCGGGATCGCTTAAGTTCAGGCGAATCCTGAACAGAATGCAAACTGACAATGATTACAATAAACAGGAAGTTACCGATGTTATTTAACGGTTGTGACCGGCCTTGATTTGGTGTTACTGTCTTTAACACCAGCAAGTTTGATTCCGGCTGATGTAACTGCAAATGATCTGGTAGTGGTACTTGATATGTAAATGGTTGAACGTTCGTCGTTATATTTGGTTGTTGCATTATTGGTATGTTTGGTAGGTACTGTTGATGCATCAGAGATTGATTGTAGGTGCTGTATTCCATGGGGGACGGAGTTCGCCCTGGTGATACTTGAGGCCTGAAAAAGGAACGAGTGCGTAGACACAGATCCTCGAAGCTTTTATTCTTTATATCGTTTATTTAGTTCCATCCCGTTCCAATGTCTTAATCAAGATTATTAATTTACCTTAAGCTTTGCATACTGCTATGCGGCTGCGAAGACGATCTTACAGATTGTAGATTGAAACCGCCCGCACTCGTACCTGGACCACCGAAAGGCGATATCCGCTCGGTTGGCTCAGCTTTGACGATATTGAGACTAATAGGTTGTTTCCCAACGCCTACAATGTTTAGTAATAGATACACATCGATATTGTCATCACTTGTAAAAACGCAATCCTCATAAAGCGATTATTGATATACATGCATAATGTTATTACTAGCAATGATATTAGCGTTAACAAGCACTCCAGATAATTATAGAAGAAAATCAGAAATAGGAAACAAGAAAATCCTCAATGAAGAAGCGTGATTTGTTGCGTATGTATTACATGCGTATTATGCATACATGCACACAATTTTATATATTTTCACTCTTCAAACTTTGCAATTCTACAAAAATTATATTCTAAACAATCACGTTGTCCGATTGAAACCATTAGCGAAGAATATCGCTTACACACTGCACTAACATTAACGTCATACCTGAATCTGCAACAGGTAAATTTTTCTGAAATTGTATAGGAGCAGAGAATAAATAGACACCTTTTTTGCATCACCAAGTGATTATAGATATATGTATATATAGATGTATTACATTATACGTAATTCGCACAATATGTAAATATATTTATCTGTTCACAAAAGAAGCAGTTTATAAAAATTATATTACCATAGAAATATTGCACATTATTTGATTGTACTATGCTACAATCGCTGCGCGTATACAATATGAATATACGCGCAGCTGACTTTCAAAAGTATATCATCGCACAAGAGCAGCGCACTCGCACTATACAAAGTTTGAGCTATGAAACTTTTACTTATAAGTACCTATTGTCACGAGTAATGATTCCACACAATCATTACAGCAAATTCTCTGTTGTAAGATCTAGAGATGCGTGGTATACTTGCTTCGCGGAATCAATTATCCCGTGTAAATATTCGTAAATAGAAAAATACAATATTACTATATCTCAAAATATACAGGCTCATGCTCCCTAATCCTTCAAATTCAAACTCCAAAGTCCTATGTAAAGTACATCTTTAAAAAAGTATAAAACAAGATCTTTTCTGCTTGTCTATATGTGAAAATATATGTATAGTGTTTTTTTTTAGATATAATGAAATCTTATTCGATAAGCTTCCCTTTCTACTATGAAAGTACGATTGTTCAACAATTTTCCGAATTTGCTAAAAAATTCTATGCGCGTAGGCGTATGAAGAGAATTGTATCAATGCGTATCGTTTCTGAAATTTTGTATCATCTTTTCAAAGTGTAAAGGGAATGGGATGAGAATCAGATTGTTAATGTATGATGAGACATAAAAACAATCGAACGTTGACCGTTTGAAAGACTGTACAATCGTTCGTACAAATACTGTTAAGTATTATTTCCAACTTTGTATCCCAATGTTATAAATTTTCTCAACAAATTTATCGCGTTTGTCGTAACAATTAACAAATGTATCAAACAGGCCTGCTAAAATGTACAAAAACTTGAAAGATTTCATTGCAAAAGGCCTCTCGTTTCATATGCGTTTAAGCGTATACTTCACTTCTGCACAAATAATATATCGGTAACATCAACGGCAAAATTGATTACTGCAGTCAGAAAAGATGGAAGGATTGCGAGTGAAAATAGATAATTAACTCGACTCGCTCCTTCAATGAGAAACGTGGCGTAAAGATAAGTAGCGTGATTTTTACATTCCAAATGAGAGATTTGGACATGTTCCAGATGATAATATTACAGTGTAATATCGACAATGTTGCCCACCGTAACCACCGTAACAAGCAGTAGAATTATGAAGAATTCTGCAAATATACTCACGCTTCTCAGCTTCTGCTACATGTTTGAAAAGTATGGAGCTCGAGTTGTTATTAAGCTTTTGTCTCTTTCGCTTTAACGAATCAGCATCATCTACAACTGATTGTACATTAATGAGTATTTTCGTTATAACTCGCGTTAACATCGCGTACAATTGCTCTGAATGAAGAAGGCCTCATGTATTTGAACCTTAGGAATTTCCTTCTAGTGTACTAATAAAGTTACTCCAAAACGAGATTCAACTCTGAATAAACTGAGCTAAGGATTTTCGTCGAGACAGTTTTTTTAAATTAGCAGTCTATAACAACGACGAGAAGCAAAAGGCGTTTGCGTAAACTCGTAATATCATATAAAACTTAACAACAAATAGTGAAGCAACGTACATTGAGAGTATACGAAAATATAACAGCGTCGACTAGAAAAGAGTAGTTAGTTATTTCATAATAAATAACAATATCGAAAACTTACAAATCACCTGTAAAAACGTTAATATAGGAAATATCAAGAAAAAGGCAACAAATTGCACCTCGATTAGACTAGAAATCTGCACACTTAGATAAATGCGTCGATCTTACGAGAATCGATTCATTTTATGTGGCAATACGTCTTGGGGAAATAATTCCGGATTTTCCCGTTCTTCGGCAAAATTTACGGTCTAGAAATACAAATATATCCTGAAACGAGCGTCAAAACTGCAAATTTTGTTTCACAACAAGAACCGACCGTAATGAAAGCTCATAATTGCAATACAATACAAATATTCCTCCCAGCTCGGCAGATAAAATGACGGTCAGACTCAAACAGTGTCATTTCATATACAAATAGCTTCAACTTGGCAGTATGTAAAAACAAAGAAGAAGTATGAAATCGGTCAATAAGACACCTATCAATTGGACATAATTTAGGTCTCTTTCGCTTCTGTCAGTATCTTTCCACCCTCGACTAGGCTATAATAAAAAGACAACTCGTCAAATTCTGAGGCAGTCGCACGTGGTGCCATAGTAGTGTACAGAGCATAGTGCTCAGCTTCAGTTAAATCTACACCATACGGCGGTGTATCATCGTCATCTAACTTTAGGGACTTGACGCTCGTGACACTCGTCATACTAGGACGCGGACTTTGCGATTGCGCGGCGTCTTGTAGTATAGTGTTCTTCAACAAATATGAAGTATTCAATGATGGATCACTGTCTCTGCTCAGAATTAGACCTGATCCCAAGCACTTGTCTTTTTTATTCTTTTTAGCAAATAATTTCGAAAACAGCCCTTGCCTCGCCTGCTTCGACAACGTGCCGGGTAAGGACGGCAAATTTTTATTCGGTGCCTCGATAGGGGAGGTAGAGAGCGTTTGAGCGGATATCGGATATGGTAAGAGAGGCATCGATGGCATTTTGCGTATACGCTTCGGAGGCAGGGGCGGCAATCTTTCTTCCGCCTCGTGCATCACGTCTCTCTTAGCTGTTAATGTTGGAGAAGCCACGGGTACTTGCGTATCTTGTTTCGGAACAGCCACGTCCTCGTACTTTCTGTCATCGGTAATATCGAACAACTCTACCGGGTTTTTCATGGCCATTTGTAAACTGGTATAAGTCTGATTGTCGCAGACATCAACGTCCATCATTTGTGAAATCGCGTTCGTCTCCGTAGCGGCTTGTGCCAATTTGTCATGTGTATCAGCGTAAATTTGATCGAGCTCGGCTACTTGCGACAAAAATTCATTAAACGATTTATTGCCACCGTCTGTCTCATTAGTCTTCTCCTTAAGGCACGCCTGTCCCTTCTGCACCCATTTACCTATCTCGGAATAGTCGAACCAATCCGCTCTACCCTTAGAATTATCTACGTTTCTCGACGCGGACGCACTGCCTTCGTGCGCGTCGGATTTCGCATAAGGAATCGCATCGACAGTCCCTTCTTTATAATCGGCAGTAAATGCGTTATTTTCTACATTATTACCGCTAAAGGCATACAATTTGCTAATTTCCTTATTATTTTCCACGTTTTTCCCCGGGACTACCGTTTCATTATTCTCACAATCCAAAACGGCATTTTTCGCGAATTGATCTACGTTTGCAGAATTGATGAACGCCTTTAAATCGCCATTACACAGCTCCGCGTGATGCTTTACGTTATACAAATCGTTTAGAGCACGCAATGCAGAGATTTTATCGTTCGGTCTTTTCGCGTCCAGATCGTTATTGTTGAATTCGTCGATATTACGAGAAAACTTGGGAGCTGCGTTGACAAGAAGAGCAGTCTCCGTAGACAAGATTTTACTGAAGGTATTGTAATCTGCCTTCTTCCTAGCAAATGCTTTCCGCAAAGACCAGAAAGCAGGCCTACCTGTACCTAATGGTAACATCTGAAATGGTAACGGTTCGCTCGTAGCACCATCCGACGGCCTCTTAAGTTGGATGTACGCTTCCACCGGCTGTTCCACTTGCTGCGTACGGTAGCTGGGCGTTCTGAACGATATTGCCGTCTGCAAAGAACAGTATCGGCGGTATAGTACAGGCAAAGAAATTCTATTTTCCGCCGTTACCTATGCGCACAATTGACCGCTTGCATAGACAAATCGTTAACTTACTTGTTTATGCACGTGTGTCGGTTGAAAATCGCCGTATCCTTCCCACAGCAGCTGTCCGTCCTTCATCTCGAAGAACCTCACTTGAATATCTTCCTTTGCGACTTTTTCACACAGTAGAATCATATCCATACTACCGGCGACCGATGCACTGCAGTGGCTCAGTTTGCAAATCACCAGATCCGACATTGCCTCTGGAAACGGCATAAGTCGCAAGTAGAAATTTTAGTTTAAACGTATACGTGTAAAGTCCTCTATCATGAGATAGGATTCTAATATGACACGGTAGGTTTTCAACGTCCACGTTCAATCGATCTAACGGTGAATTTTCCACTAAATAGATTTTATTCCAGAGGCAGCAAAATCATGGTGGAACCAACAGATGATGCCCGACCAATTTAGAAACTCCGCTATCTTGTATTAAGAGTCTATCTCGTAATAGGGGACTTTCCTCTATATATACGTATATTCTAAAATGACGCATACTTTTATCGTAAATAGGGTCAGACACGATGGGCGGTAGCGGCTTGTTGAACTTTCCTTTCTGCGATCCCTCCAAGAAAACTTGGAAGCATAATCTCACCGAGTTCAGATCGATGTTGGTCGGGTGTCTCTTATGCTCGAAACCAGCTGCAATAAGACACGGATCTTCGTAACCGGCTTATCTAAACTGATAACAGATTAGCGGGGAAATAGTCGCACATACTTCGAAAGGGATCCACTCGCAGATCCTGACGCACTCTGAGAGCATCTTCAATGTCCTTCTTCTTTACGCACTGAATGCCCAGATTCGAGAAGGTGACGACCATGTTGCCCGACGGGACTTCCACCGTGCAGACACCCTGCTTGCACACTTCCTTGCCGACGAGGTTGTGCGGATGAGGCCTGTACGGGGCGTCCTTCGTCACACAAGACACGACCACCATAGCACGACCCTGGTAACCCATGATCTACAGGAATAGTATTGAGAATTAGAGACAAGTAAGAGAGATTCGCAGGGCAAATCGTCGAACGTATCGCGACTCACCCGTATACTAGGGAAGGTTTTGTTCTCCGGTGTACTGTTGACACCTGGTATGCTGCCAGCCGACCTGCCCTCACATTCATAGCGAAACCGCAGCGCCTTACTGGCCGGCTGTTCCAAGATCTCGACGTGCGGCTGAACGTGCTTGCTGTCCATCGCTATGGTGGCCATAGAACCAGGATCCGTGGTTTGAATCACGTCGACTGGAAGCAGCATTTGCGTCAGACATTGCTGTACAAAGTATAACACCAAGGCGAAAACTGTGCGCTCGACACTTACGGATATCACTTATATTAATATCCCCCTCGCTTATGCCATTGTACTGTTCCATTACTGCGGTTCTCTAGCACATTGAGCTTTGTCCATCTGAAATACAATTACAAACACGATCGGCCACGTGATTTCGTGCACAGTTGTAGAAAGTCACTCGTCTATTTATATTTCAGCGAGACGAAAGCACCAAGTGCCCGAAGCCGCTCCTCAGCTAGACGACGTCCCGGCGTGCAGCGAGAGAACTAACGCGATGCCTCACGTATCACGGGAGCCGCGTTTCGGAGCACGTTCCCCTCCCTTTCTCCCGATATACTTGAATATCTCGCGTTGAACTTGCACCGCGCTGCCGCCGGTTTAAATGACAAACGGTCGTGCCAGCGTCAACAACAAGGGGCCCGGGAAGGACGCGCGCGATCTCCACGTACAGCCCCCGGGATCCGCGGAGCGACAGCTGTTCGTCGCGCACTTTCGCGCGCGGGGACACGTCCGGAGACACTGCACGCAAGTGTTCCCGGGGGAAAAAAGGAGCGCGAGGAGGGACGCGACGCTGATCCAATCATTATTTTGGGCGAGCCTAGGCCCGTACAGGCCGCGTGTCTATAATTAAACTATCGTAGGACAATGTGACGGGAGAGAGAGACCGAGGGAGCGAGAGGGAGGGGAGGAGAGAGAGAGGCGCGCGCGCGCGCGCGCGAGAGAGAGAGAGAAGCGCGCGAGAAAGAGAGAGAGATGAAGAACTTGCCTGCCGCACGCATCAACATGCTATATGCTTCCGAGGCCTGGCGCTGTGGCTGCGCGCTCTCGCGCCGTTGTCCGCGTCGACGAGCGGGAGGATCGGTGATCCGGACGAGGCAGGGCTCTCTCTCCTCCCGCCCTCCGATTTCCCACGCTGCGCAGCGTCCTCCGTTGCAGGACGTACGGGGCGGGGTGGGGAGAGGGAGCGCGGGAAAAAGCCGCGGGCGGTCCGCCGTGCGCGGGATCGCACCGAGATTCGGCACTTCCGTCGTTCGGCGCGATCGCCTTGCCTGGCCTCGCGGCGCGTTACTGCGCTGCGTACGTACTCGGCGACTCGGCCCCGCGGCCCGTGACGTGAGAGCGACCGCGACCGACCGAACGGACGGAGGGACGGACGGACGGCACCAGCAACCAGGCACTGACTCAGACTGACTGACCGACCGTCGTCGCACGCGCGGGAGCGACGCGGCGTGACGGAAGCGGGGGCGGGCGGGCGGGCGGCCGAGACCTCGTACGCGCGCGCGGCGCAATCTCGGCAGGTACTGGAATCCTGTGTAAATCTCTTTTTACCGTTTTTACGCAGGGACCGATCCTCCCCCCCAGCCCCAGCCAGGGGTGCTTTCGCGACGTAGGTCAAAATGATCCGTGCTATGATTGGTCAAATCTGGAATTTCATTGAATAAAATTTCAATGTGATGCTACGAAATTTCAGATTTGACCAATCATAGCACGGATCATTTTGATCCGGATCATTTTCATCTACGTCGCGAAAGCACCCCTGGGCGCCGATTCTCGAAATCATTCGAAGAAGAAACGTATACGAACATTCTGCTCTGACAGAAAAGTTGAAAGTCTATTGATTAAAGCCACGCGAATAGCCAATCAACTTTCAACTTTTCTGTGAGAGCACAATTTTCGCATACGTTTCTACCTCGAACAAATTCAAGAATCGAGCCCCTGAAGTGGTTCGTCGATCGACACATCGAAACGATATCCGTATCGACATCGAAAATCGAAACCGTCGAACCAATAGGGTGCAAACTCGTAGAGCGGAAACGGTGTACGCAAAAAAATCACGGAACGACAGCTTCGACCAATCACGAAAACATCGGAACATTCGTGATTGGTCGAAGCTGTCGTTCTGCGACTTTCTGCGTACAACGTTCCGCTCTACGAGTTTGCACCCATACAGCACAGATGGTTGCAGTTACATTGTAGAAACCGCAATCTTGCAGAAACATTGCAGGGATATAAAATTGCAAACTTTCGATAGCAATATTGCAGCAATGTTTCAAAAAATAATGAAAATACTATATTTTCTATGTAAGAAATTTTTCTAATTACGAGAATTTTAATGTTATTTTCGTTGATACCAATAATGCGCGAATTATTAAGTATAACTTGATCAGTGCGATGTTGCTCGCAATCTCCATCTATTGCGAAGCGACATAACCTCCTTAGGTTGCTTCGCAAAAGCTTGCTATGCCTTGAAAAAGGCCCGGATGTATATGCAATTAATAAATTCTCTGCTTATGTACAACAACAACAAATTATTCCAAAAATATTGCACTGCAACATTGCTATAATATTGCACTGCAATCTTTCTGAGGGCAGACATTTCAACGTTGCAGCAATGTTGTGCAACGTTGCTGCAATCTTGCAATGTAACATTTCTGCAATCTTTCCGTGCTGTGTGGAAACATTGACGTCGATTCGACTTGGTTTCGACGTGTCGCGTTCGACAGGTCGTTTCTCGCTGGGCTTCGATTCACTCGCGCGATAAACGCGTACGCGAATTAGCTGCTCCTACGGAAAAGTTGTAACGTCGATTGGTGGAAAACAAACCACGTCAATTGACCTGCGAGTTCTCTGTAAGAATTTTCGTGTATGTACACGGTTTTTCTTACGAGCGAAGTCGAGAGTCGAGAGCCGAGAATCGAGCACCGGAACTCGAGCGGACACTCGGGATGCTGAGAGGTAAACAGCGCGGAACTCGATAGATCCTGTACTTGAGTTCGTTTTAGATCTCGAGATCTCGCTGTACGATCGCTTCTCTTTTAGACGGGATCGTGAGACGCGGGACCAGGGTTTAAGACAGTCGTGTGGAGTACGGATGTTTCTTATGCGAACAAATTACGACGAGGAATGACGCTGACTTATCGCGAGATTCTATCTCTGCGACGCGGGCGAGCGGATCGAGAAAAATTGACATTCATCGCATGCAATTGCCATTTTCGTTCGTCGCAATTTCGATCTTCGCCGTTCGCGATTAATTAATGTTTGCTTCACTGTGTACGTACACATATACTCGACTCGCAATTGAACTACGGTATATACTTTTATACCTTAGATAGAGAATTGAAAAAAGAATTCCTCTTGAACTGCCGAATTCTTTTTCCACCCCACATTTCTAAAAACATTCTTGAGAGCCCGAAAGGAATTGGCTTTTGTGCTAAAAAATTCTGAGCTCTTTCTCGAGTACAAAAGGAACTCTTTATATACTCTACAAAAATTCACACCTCAGAGAAATTCTCTCGAGTTCATTTTGACGCAGATTACGCTAATTCATAAAGAATTTAAAAAAATGAACCCCTATTCAAAACGATCACCTGTGCTATTCGGGATGATTTTTAAGAAAGGGATATATTGGAGGAGTCCAAGATTATCTTCTTTGCTTTTTCGTGTTTTAAGCAGGTAATATCCGACTCTGTTAGGCTAAAGTAATTCGTTTCATCAGGTATAGCTTTCGTGACCTTGACTCGATTAGCACGCGCGAACCAGACGTTATCGAGCGCATTTACTTTGTGGTCTCGTTTTCGCAATACGTTCTCTTCTTCTTATTACGAATGTATTTGCAGGGTACGCTTCCACGAAGTGTCTAGAATGACACCCCGTACATCGGTTCAGTCAATTGTTCGCCAGCAGCATCCGTGTTTCGTCCCCATGACGAGAGGGACGCGCACAAACAATCTCGATCGCATTCGAGGACAGTCTTATGCGCGATACTGCGAGTCGACATGCCAGAAACTACTACTACTACCCTGTCGAAGCGGAATCCGGGTCCGCGGCCAGCGGCCGTCACCAGGGTGGAAACCAAGCTACCCCGATGCGTGCAACGTAGACTACCGTGCGCCCCCGTGTCTGTGAGATGCCATCCGCGGTCAAGCCCGTACCGGTGCGCCGATCATCGCGTACCCAAGAGACCCTACAGACTAGCGGTGGGGTTGTCAGTGTCTAGGACAGGTCGCGGGAGTCCCACGCCGATTCCCAAGGGCTGCTCCGACCGCTGCCCGCCCGGCTTCCTCGCCATTGGCACTCACTGCAAGAAGAGCCTGTCGATGATGGACCTGACTCTGCCCGTCGTCGATCCCGATATCGGCGACCTCAAGTGAGCGCGGTTCCTCGAGGACGAAATATCGAATGATGGAATATTGCGTGAAGATCGCAGTGGTCGTCGAGGATGTTGAATTTAACTTTTCTTAATACCCGATCAGGATCAATCGGGTCCCAGTGAGAAATGAGTCGTCGATCGATGTCGATTCGATCGACGAATCATTTCTCACTGGGATGTAGTCAGTTGAGTCTATGGAGTGAATGAATGGCAGAATTAATATTCGTACATAAAATTTTGTTACGGACTTAGGAAATATGTGAGAAATTACAAGCTTCAGCTTTACATTCATATAATACTAAGTATATATCGTTGGAATATTGAAGAATGATTATGAAAGCGCGATCTAATCCGAGAGCATGCCGTTTAGATCGGAGAGCGGTTCGTCCGCCAGTCGTCTCGACGAAATCGCCGACAGGACCAAGGACATCTTGGCAAACGGCGGAAGCGGCAGATCCTGGACGGACGCTACGCCGTCCTCGGAGTCCGAGCAGGGCGAGGCTACCGGTTTGACGGAGGATCCGACAATCAGGGCGGCAAATGTGGTGTGCCACGTTCTGGTACTGAACGCATGGCGACGCAGACGCGCCGAGATCGCGCAGTTGGAGCAACAGGTGGAACACCTGCACTTGCAGATCGAGTTCCTGCGCCGGTTGCTGCTCGCCGAGAGCGACCGAGTCGGCAGGCTGAACGGCGAGCTGCATCGGGAGAAGGCGCAGCTCGAGGAGGCGACGCGCGAGCGCGACGCCGCGAGATCGGTACGATCGATCGATCATTATGAGCCTTCGACCTGTATTTTGCATATTCCAACCCGCTCGCGTCTGATTTTGGCCAATCAATATCCGAGTTTTTTTTCTTTAAGAAAAAGACAGCAAGCTTTAAAAAGAAATTTGTTAAATGGAATTTGTTAAACACTTGCCACCGTCTTATGGAGAAAGACTCTCAGTCTCCGAACCAACAGCGGTAGCGACATACGCGCCTTGCGCTTCTACTGCGTCATTCTCGTATACGGGAGTTCAGTGACATGTTTCTAATTACGGGGATGATGTTACCGCGAGAATACGCGACACATGTTGCGGCGACACATGATAGGCCCTTTCGATGGAAAATGTATGCACTTTGCACGCGTTATAATCGTCCGACTCTAGCGATATGATATATTATACATAATGAAATTTATTATTTCACGAAAAGTAGTCGCGCGTCGTTGGATGTTCTGTTGCAGGAAAAAGAAAAGCTGGAGACTGAGCTAAAGCGCGCTGAGGAGGTCTCCCAGGAGCGATCGGTCACTGTGGGAAACTTGAAGAACGAGCTCTTGACCGTGCAGGATCAGCTAAAAGCACTCGACGCGCAAATGGCGAAGGACCGAGAGAAACTTTTGAAGTTACGCGAGGATAAGCGGATTCTCCTGGATAAAGTTGCGTTTCCTCTTTCGAACATTAATCGTTGAACGGATCTCTTCGGAACTTGGGATTCTTCGGCTAATTCTGAATTTTTATTCGCGCAAATGTCTCGAGTTACCGTTTCTCGCGGTCTTCCTTGAGCAACCTCCCAATCCTTGTGTGTGAGCAACATCCAGCGAGCCGTAGCGAATTGCTAACCATGCATACTTAGGCAGCCGCACAGCGCGGCGGTGATAAAAAATTGATCTGTTGTTCAGTGAGTCATTGTTACCCTCTGAGACACGAGGTTACAACCCCCTCCTCCTCGGGGGTGAACTCTCCCACGCGCGATTTCTGCGCGAACTCCTTTCGCGTTCCACGAATAAACTGACTCACTCTTTCCTTCTCCTTCACCCTTTCTGCGGAGATTAGACATCTCCGCTTATCATGTGACATCGGTTTGTCGCATGCACAAATATTGAAAACAACTGGGGGAAACGTCGCCGAATCGATATCCTGCGAATTCTTAATAGACAATGATTTACCGTGGATTCTTTTTCGAACATAAAATTCTTAAACGAGGGCGATATTTCTTAATAGGAAAATATTTCCGAATTACTTGGAAGACCAAGAATATCGCGATTGGTATAATGTTATGCTGCCAATTTATTTGGGTCGCTGCATGTGTCATCGCGCGACATCCGCCACTTTTTTTAAAGATTTCAGAATCCACCCGCGAGGCAGCGTCAGGTCAATGCACGGCGAAAGAAATATAGCTTGCGGATGAGTCACACCTTTCGCGTTTCGCCGGTGACTCAATATCACGTAATACTCCTTCCGTACCAGGAAGAAGGATCAATACCACTTGCCCTATTAACTTTTATCCACTGCGGAATCGCGGGATATCGTGGAAATTTGCAATCGACACAAATGCAAAGAGTTATTTACACATACATATATGAATTGTGCACCTCTATCGTACACACCAATCCTGTACGTGACGTTTATGCATATAGTATACACTAGCGATTCTACAAAAGATTTGGCTGAGAAATTGCATCCTACAATTATCCCATGTTTTTGATAATAAAAATAAGAAAAATTGAGCGATCGCGCGTACTACTTTTGAAATTTTGAGAAACGTTCGTTCGCACAAGTTGTATTTTTTTATTGTAAATTTGCTATTATAATAAGGGCACTTGCCTAGGTATCAGCCAGCGAAGCACTAGTGACGGAACGTGGCGTTCGGGCGGAAAAAGCGGAATCTGCCGTCGAGAAATTGCAGTTGCGATTAGTGGCACAGATATCTCTCGCAGAGTCTACGCAGGAACAGCTCCAGCGTACTTCCAGGTATGCCCGAGTCTTCAGATGTCCTCAAATTTGCAAACACTAAGTACAGGAATTTAAGATTGGAGCTGGTAACGTTTGACATGTACAATTAGGGAGCTGCAGACTGCGGCGGCCGAGAGGCAGAGACTGGAAAAACGTTTGAAAGCTAGCGAAAATAATGCGAAGACTCTGAGTTTACGCGCGATTGCCCTGGAGAGCCAGTTGGCTGATCGAGAGGTTGAACTTCGCCGTGTTGAAATGGAATATCACTCGCAAATGTAAGACGTCTTTGAAAAAAATAAAATAAAAGAAATCGCCTCGCATCTAAAACTAAAAAAATATATTACGAGATACCGTTTGTTAGGGCGGAATTAAATGAGCTGAAAGAACAATTGCTACGACAATCTCAAGAGAGTGGCTGGAGCAGTCGGATATTGCAGATTGCTGGAAGCTTCATGCGCGTGTCAATCCTACGGACGTTTGCGTTTCTATCCAGTGCCACTCTGCCGTTGCCGCCGTAGGTAGGTATTTTATTATAACTCGTAATTTCCAGCTTGCAACGGAAGAGACTGTGAAACCTTGTTACCTTATGTTGCTTTACATAAACGCGGATTAGTGAACATTTTATTGACTAATACGGAGATCAACAGAATTTCATTGAGGAATGAGTATTTCACTTATCCTTGGTGCAAATACTGAAGATTCGTTTAAGAAAGTAGAATTGAGATAGAAAATTAACATTGTTACATACCTCAATATCTCGCAGATAAAGCGCTTAAGCGTGATCGCAATTCTCCGAGACGTGGGGCCTGGATAGCCGATTTTAATCGGAGAAAACCGAATCGAAGGTTCGTTTGGTACGAACGTCTTCCGGTCGTGAAGAAAAGAGAGTATTGTATGATCGGAAATGACAGATTGGATACTGGCAAGAACCAGGCAGTCGCGGGATAGTCGAGAAATTGACAAGCATTAACATTTCATATTACATTTAAAATACATTGCAATTTTTTTTTTAGCCAGTATTTAATTTTTGAGGAGTAGAGATTTTACATATACACTCGACATACCCTGCGCGCGCATACGTACTGTGGATAAAACAAGCAATTTTATTATATGTCGTATAGATATTTATAGGATAAAGTTTTCCCTTTCGTGCGAAAATAAGGAGATGGGTGTAACAAGTGGAAAGCTTAACGGGATTTATTGAATAAACGTGGATATTATATACCTTTTTCATCTATATTTCTTTTTCTTCACATAATGACAAACTGATAAAAATAAATTACCGTCAGTATTATTTGATGGTAGATAATCTGGCGAGGCGGTTAATTTCTTGCTATTGCGAGGCGTAGTATTACGGTTACGATCGTTGGCCATTCGTCCATTATTATTTCGCAACGAATAGTCTGCTATGGCGATTACTACGTTTCATACTATTCCTTCTCTATTTAATATAAGTACATGTCATTGCAGATTAAATAAATACGTATACCAGAATGCGATGCTCACAGTATGATCGCAGTATTTTGTTATGACTAGGTAATCATGCTTATTATATCGCGAGTATTTTGCGTCGATAAGAAATAGATGTAGTGTCAGAATACAATCATATTTTGTACTGGATGTACATACTAATTGGCTTACATTACATCCGCCATCGTCGACGTTGGAAGTACCGTATAATCGCCTGTGCTGTTATTATGGGTAAAAAAAAAACTGGACTAGCGCAAAGCTTCAATATATCTTAGCCTCGTTATTCATCGTACTTAAGTTTTTCCTGAAATCACATGCTCTGTGACAGAATGTATTTCAATACTGATTAACGGAATGTTCAATGCTATTGCAGTGATCCCTTCATTCAAATACATCAATCTCGGTACGTATAACAACACTGCAAAAAGAAAATGAATGCGTATTTTGATTTGTTTAATCGTACGTCCTTGTACAGCGACGTTAGCTACATCGTCGTTCGAGGAACGCGTTAATGTGATTCTCTTTATGTTCACGTAAAATCTATACCGTAAGTTTGGCTACGCTAAATCTCGATACAATAATATTGAGCAATTCTGATGTTGAGGTAACATTGCTCTTGCTGAATATCCTCCGTTTTATAAAAACGTCGCCGCGGCTGAGTAGAAATTGCATCGTCTACATCGTCGGAAGATTAGATTGTTCCTGATAGTCTTCGGCGTAAACAGAAATATGTAATTCCAAAAATTCTAATCGACTACATATCAAAACGTGCGATAAAGTTATCCCCTCTTCCTGACCACGTTATCGGCAGGAAGATACTATGGGACAAACTCGTAATAGGATCTATTATTGAAAAAACGTAGTTTCTTTATCGTCAAAGACGAGTTTCATCTATCGAAGAAAAAATGGATACATAAATGGATCAGCAGTTCTAGTCAGACTAGAAGTTTGATGGATCCTACGGTTTTTCGACTAGATCATGCCGAAACCTTCGGTGCCCTCGCTGATCGCCAACAGCAACGCTCGTTCAAAGTGATCGTAGCACTCGTAATCAGGTAAGCAGAGTTGGTTAAAGCTGAAAAGGAACATTAATGACGAACCAACAGTCAAAGAGCAAATGGGAATAACGCTAGGCGAGGGCGTACCAGGTGTGTGCCGTGGGCAAATTAGCGAACGTTGGTGCGGCCGTAATCTGAAATCGAGGACTTAATTGTTGAAATCCACCGGGCGGCAATTGCGAGCAGCCCGTGGTAAACTGGAGCAATCGTGCCATCTCCTCCTGCGTAAAATTGCTCACCGCCGTCCAGAACCAGTCGAGCACTCGGAGAAATTCCGGGGAACTTCCGTTAGCTATGTGATGCGCGCGTAAATCTGCCACGCTGTACTCGCCGGTTCCGCACAGCAGCAACTGCGAAACAGGTAAAATTGCGGAATATCGCACCTTCGGATAGACGTATTTTCAATAAAATTTTACGCACCTCTAATTCATTCTCATCAAATATTCCTAAAAGGTTGTCGGGAATTAGTTCGTTGAGACCACGCAAGAAATGGTCGACTTCGTTGCGGATGGAACTGGCAAGTCGGTGCTGAGCGAGCGCGTCAAGGTAACGAAGCTTCGTGTCATTGGTCACTCGCACTTTACTACCACCGGGAATTAATTCTGCCACCTGTACAAAACATGAGTGTTAATAACAGCTTTCAGAACCGTGTATTAAATTTCGGCTGCGCATTAAGTTTAAAACAATAAAATGTGAATCTAGTAATAATAAAGTTTTATCACGTTTTCCAAATGACATGATTTATAACGTAGGATTATAATATGAAAAAGTAACAGTATGTACCTTCAACAATTGTCCGTCCTTATCGTATTCTTCTTCAACAAAGTACAATTCCATTTCTTCAACGTCATTCTCGAGAATATACTTCACCTTACTTAGATACAGATCGGGATCATCTTGTTCGAAGTACTAGCGCCCATAAAAAGATACAGTATTGCTTTGTTATTAATTTCTCGCGATACAATTTTGCAGGGATAAGAAAAAAAGTTCGAAAGAAGTTTGAACTACCTTGTAATGCACTCTAAGTCCTATAATCTGTGCAAGGAATGATCTGGTGAATCGCGCGCGTACTAACTGACGGTAGGAGCCGCCAAGCGCTGACTCGTACAGACATTTGCCTACAATACGCCCGGCAAACTCATAGTGCTTCAATTTAAGATGCGGCAGTCGTTTGGGATTTGGATGCACCAATGCCTGTTGCGATTCCCCAAACGACGCGAATAAACCATTCCCCGGATCGAACAGTGCGGCACATATCAATTCGAACCATTCACGTCGCACGCCGCCCCAATCAACGCCTAACATGAAATAATGATTCTTGTAGCTGTCTCGAAATCGATCTTCATGAAAGTTCCTTAAACGTAAAGGAAACGTACCTTGTTCGCCTTGGAAAGTGATTTCAAAGTTTCGACACCAATCGCTCACTGAAAATCCTTTAGTAGCTTTCATAGACTAAAAAAAAAAGGAAAGCCGATTAGTATACATCTTTACACGATGCTTTCACGGATATCATTAATATATTTATATATTTACCGATTCCAGAAGCTTATCACGTTGCACTTTCATCGAGAGTTTCTCGTGATAATGCTTTTGGTGATGCTTGCGGACTTCGTGATAGAAAAAGTCTTGCTTGTCAGCGAACGTTTCACTGCCGCCGATGTTTTTCAAGAGAAACAAGGTGAAAGTGGCGGCTATTATATCACGGTACAGAGATATCAGTTCAACCGGAGGTTGACATCCGTCGTCTATCGAAAAAGGGTAGTATCCCTCGTGCTGATTAGTCGAATTTTCAAAATGGAACTGCAATGTACAATACAAAAGTAGGAATTTACGATTTGGAAACTACAAATTTCCGAGATATAATTAAAATCGACGCACTCAGGCGTATGCAAAACTATTTCGGATGATTGTGCCATACCTTAGTTGACGGACACAGTCTAAATGTCACGAGTCTTTTGGGAATAAATTTTAATAAATACTCCTTAATCGTAAGCTGCTTAGGCGAGATGAAGCAGAAGACCTTCTTTGGTTTAGAAAATCTTTCTCCTTGCATGCCCAGCAACTTTGCGACATAACAGATATCAGGATCCTTGGACGCTACGTTATTATGCACCATTCTCGCGACAGAATCTAGTAACGAGAAGAAAAACGTAGTACACAAGGTTCGGAACATAAAAGCGCAGGAGGATATCTGAGCTTGAAAATAAGATAATTTACATACTCTCGAGCACAATGATATCGAAATCCCCATTATGCAGCTGCAATCCTGCCAAGCTAACAGTTGCATGATAGCATCCGCCTTTCGGAAAGCTCACTTTCAAACGAATTCTTTGGTTTGAAGAATCGTAATCGAGTTGAATACTACAGTCTACCATCGAGCCTTTATCTACTAAGCTACCGATCTGAACAAGATAAATTTGGATAATTGGATTAAACAATAATCGCCAATACATCTATTTTCATAATTTTACAAAGCGATATCTCCTGATTTACCTGGGTAATATTGACGTTATAACCTTCTGTAGGCTGCTCTCCAGGCCCAAATATGCACAGATTGTCATATTCGTCACGTGGCTCTATTGTCATCGAATGGGCTATCCCAGCTGTACAAACGACCGTAGAACTTTGTCGTACAAAGACCGTCTTGTTTGGATCTGGTGGACCTGTAGTAGACGATACATCTCACTCGATCGTAAATACTAAGTTTTTATACAGTGCGTCCAAAATCTGGCTAACTTACAGACTTTTCGACTAATCGTAAATTGAGTTTCACTTGACTAAAATGCCAGGGAAGGTAATTATTTACTAGAGATATCCTATTTTGAACAATAAACAGGGTGAGGAAAAAGTATGAAAACTCCTAAATTTTTCGAAAACTATGCATTTTAAAAACAAATGTTTGAGACAAAGTTATATGGTTTCAAGGGGGACATAAGATGGTGTCATTACTTTGACCTTGAAAAAAAATGCAGGTTTTCATTTCAAAAGTTCAAGATTACCTTCATGTAACCTTCAAACGACTGTCCAAGGTCAAACCAATGATACCATCTTATGGTCCTCTTAAAACCGTATAACGTTTGTCTCAAACATTTGTTTCTAAAGTGCACAGTTTTTGAAAAATTTAGGGGTTTCTATACTCACGCTGTATACCTTTGCACGAGATTAGTCACTCAAATCATAAATTGGCGTACAGGTTTACTGTCGCTCGCATTTTTAAAGTTTACAATTTGAAAACCAACGATCCTTTCATATATTGCCAAGCCATCTTTCATATTTCACCCGAGACTGGTGATTCACGAGATGTTCTCGTTGTACCATTGAGTATTATTTTACAGCGTGTCATGCAACGTATATACGTACCAGGAAGAAAATTCTTAAGAAACGGGCTGCCATGAACGTGACACGATCCGATAAGTACAGCTATTCGATATTGTCCCGCATGGCGGACAGTAAACTTTACTACTGCAGTATTTGCAGCTAAGGGGTCGGTGCCTCCTAGTTCTATTAGCGTAGCTACTCTGCGCGTATCCTCCGTTACCTCCACGATCAAATTATCCTTGTCACATATCGGGTATGGCTGACCGTTGCGCTGATAAAACTGCAAATACAGACATCCTTATCGTCTAATCGGCGCCTAAAATGATTATGACTTTCACGTATATTCAGCTCTACCGAAAGTGACATCTCTCGAATGTACATATGTAAATAGCTGAAGGTTCAATCGCTTATCATCCGAAACGTCCTGAGTTTACATCTCGCGGTTACCTATTTCCCCATGCATATTTCGTTCTGGCGGAGGATTACCGCATCTGAATATAAATATCCGCGAGGAGATTCCGGCGGCGCAATCGCTTTACTCACTTTAACCGTAAAAGTCATCGTTTCGCCGACCAGCTGAGGCTCTTCCCACTCGAAATGAACGCGGCAGTTACTCGGCAATAAATATTTCCCTGTGACGTACTGCAGAAGAGAGTGTTTCGCTTCGGGTGCCAGAGCGGGCTGCGTCATAGCAGCCAGGGTAACCAGCCCTGCCACCGACACGGAAACTACCAGCATACCGCCTAGCGAGTGTAAGGAGTTACTTGTTAGTTCTACATCCTCAAAAAGGATTTCTCTTACTGAGACAAAAAAATATTCTCGACGCATTTATATTTCTCACAACCTCATTTCGTATAAAAAATAAGACGATATCAAAATAGAATCAATAATTCTTATTCCTTTATCGAATTAGAAAAGATTGACTTACTATATTGAGACAAGAATAGCTTATATTCTTGCGTTTAGAATAAATTTTCCCTCCATCTTACAACGCACCAGTTGGCGCCGCGATATTCGACAAAAGACGATACATACTATCATTTTATTCTAGATTTTAGAATTTTTCATTTAAGATTAAAATATTCCTTTCTCTATAATAAATATGATTGGCGCTATATCGATCTTATTTTATGATACATTCAAGTGTAATAGCAATTGGATCCGGACATTTTTTCCGCGGGTGTAGGTGGTCAATTAACAATCTTCCAACAATCGTCCATAAGGGAGAAGGTTTGGTTTAATAAAAATAATGAAATATCGCGTGAATAGAAAATCGACTTTTAATGCTGTTGTCTTGTATATGTTATTTTAATTCGTAATACCGCGCACTAAACTATTACGTTAATGATAATTTAATTATATGCTTTATTAAAATAAAAATTAATAAAACTTTCTTCATTTTATCTTATCATTTTTTTTACTCGTAGATATATTTGCCTTTTTGAAATAATTCCTAGTCAGTCCATCTTCTTTTCTCAAATGATCTCTTTGTCTGTTTTCGCAGCGAAACAATGTTTGAAAATGGATTCTAGAGCTCTCTTTCATATCTTACAGATATCCATCGTTTCTCTTTCCTCTTTGTAGACGCAATATCAAATTTCCTAATCTTTCTGTAAAGCCCTTCAAACGCAAAGCTAACGTAGAAATCATGATTATTCGATTTCCGCTAAAAATGAATCTCGTTCCGGAAAAAGGATTGCATTTCACGGAAAGAAATGGAGAAAAGCGCGATAAAAGAACATTGAAGAACACTCGTACCCCATGTCCAAGCATCCTGGTGTTGGCTGTTCTTTACAACGGCACTCCACAGATCCGCTTTGAGAGTTTCCAAATCTTCTTTTGAAGTAGGTAACGTCTGCCTAGCCTGGGTCCACCGTGGTAGATCCTTGCCAAGGGCCGTCCGTGCCGCATTGTCCTCCACCCAGTATACATCCTCCAGGGACATAACTTCCATTTGCATCAACCTGGCAAAGTACATCTTCAACGTACACGCTGCAGTGTACTTTCGCAATCTTTTTAAAGAAGCTTTATTTAAATTGAACGACGGTCTGAATGGCAATTGCTCACGAACGATTTTCGCGAAGGAAAACATTACTGAGCGGAAAAGAAAAAATTATTATCAGACCTCTCTAAACGCGACAACACGAAGCGATCGATATAATCGTTTCTAATTGTGTAACCAGTGATGCAAAGAGCCAACAGAAGTCGCCAAACGCAACGACGATTGATATCGATCCGTTCCTCATATTTAGCTTCTCTGTTTGCGTGCTATCTTTTCTCTTACTTTTGATAGTAATTATGTAGGCCATGGTCCATCAGCCATTGACGTAGCACCAGTCTCTGCTGCAGCAGACGCGCAGCGCGCTGCAGACGTTCCTCATCTTGCGCCGGCAGCTCGGGTAGCGCATCCACCTCGCCGCAACTCGCGAGGGTCGAGATGCCTGTCGCAAAAGAAAAACAAATTCACGTTCATTTGACGATGCACAACGAGCGCTTAGTTAGTCTGAGACGAGGCAAACATGATAAAAACGGGAAGAAGCCTTTGTGGCACTTTCTTGAATTCGCATTCTCTTCTCGAGGAAAGACAAAAGGGTCTTTGTTACAAGACACGCATTATATGTATACGTACAGCTTCTATGGTACTTTTCCGCATTATAGCATATTATATTCGTTATGGGATGTCTACACGGAGAGACCGATATGGTGTTACCACATGTCTAATTAGGGTTGGCAAATAGTAATATTTGGGACAGCTGTATCTGTGGTTGTCATATCCACATTGGTATCTTAAGCAGTGGAGAACTGGAGACAACTATATGCGTTTTGTGCAGCAAACTTAGCGAATGCTGCAACGCAAAACAATGTAGATTCCCCTACTATTTGTCTCTGGCAACTTTTTAATTTTAGTTATTTTTTGCCTCAACCGGTCTTTCCGTGCAAGTACAAGTGAAGACGCATTTTAGCGGAATGTAGTTATGTATTAAGAGTACAATTTCACTAACGTCCGGAGCCGAGGGAAGTAAGGCCAAGACTGATAAGTCGATTGAAATTTGAAATTTTATATTAAATTAGTTACTAGTTATCAAACAAATGTAACTGAGTTAAGTTACAGCTACAGATGAAGAAAAAGTAACCGAGTTAAGTTAGAGTTACCAAAAAGACGTAACTGTAACTTCGTTCCAAGTAACGAGTTGCTTCCCAACTCTGAGTCTTTTGTATCGGGTATTGTAATATTTAGACATCTCCCAGATACCTTTGTGACATTTTTGCTGTGTGGGTTATAACTGTTTTCTGAGTTTTTACGTCGGAAGATGACAACACTGTCAATTAATGATACATTTTTATAATCAGTGAAACGGCATCCGAGGTATTTGCGTAACAATTGTTTCACCGATAGCGTGGTATCATCGATAGAGAACGGGAAGCGTCGGCTGCGATAATTCGGTATACACGGAGGAACTGGTCGCTTATTCATATATTTGTTCTCGGTGGACAGTCAGTCGTAAAGTCGCTCGTAGACAGAATGCATTTCAAGATGTGCCGCGTATCGCTTCTCGTTCTTGTCTGCGTTTCTGTCTTCGTAGACACCGCAATCGCGGCGTGCACCGTCAGCGGAAACGAGAATGGTGAGACAAAGTCCCCATATTTTTTCTAGAGAGCCCTGCATTTCTTCGTTTATTCTTCAAAGAATCTCCTTCCCTTGTTCTCTAGTTTCACGTGCTTCGGTGAAAGTTGTCCGTTTTATTCCGAGATGAATTGTGAACTGCGCAAACCGGTAAAACGTACACACCAGTGTCCGATGATAAAAAAATAACAAATCACCAATCTCACCTTTGCATTGCCACAATTGTTCTATAAATATTATTACAGTCTTTTGTCCAATTGTGCTTAGGATTTGGCAATCGTCTAAGATGTTCCAACGTGACGTTAAACGCCGCGCTAATTTTCGGCGAGCCGGACGTGAACGACATCATGATTTTCGAATCGCGGATAGAAAGTATTCCCGATCGAGCGTTCCTGAGACACAGCAAGAACCTAATCTCTCTGAATATGCACAAGTGCGACATCACGGAGATTTCCGATTACGCGTTCGACAGTCTGAGAAGATTGAAGAAGCTCAGCCTGCCGTACAACAACATCACGTCGGTGAGAGATCAGTGGTTCGTCGATCTGACGTCCCTGGAGCAACTGGATTTGTCGTACAATCTCATCGCGTCGATCGAGCCCACGATCTTCGAGAAACTGCGAGGTCTCAAATGGCTCGACGTCAGGGAGAACCGTTTGACGTGCTTGGAACCGGCCCAGCTTGCGCCGATGGCCGGCCTCGAGAAGCTCCGCTTCGCCGGAAATCCCCTCACCTTCCGGTGCCGTGGCACGGTGAGCGTATTGCATTTTTCGTACGAGAAGAACACTGTCGTTCGAAACGAACGAGCATTATAACGGAACGAGTGCAACGCGGCGACCGAGGGGAAAACCCGAGGGGTAAACCGCCGAGGGCATTGTGGTGTACAGATTTGCGGCATTACTGGGCATTTTTTGGGCATTAGTTTGGGCATCAGGCCTTGCTGGGGCATTATAGAGATAAAATAAGATATTGTAAACTACGATAAAACAAGATAAATAGGACAAAATAAGATAATAAGATAAAGTAATGCCCACTGGGCATTAGTGGGCACTTGTGTACAAGATTTTGGTCAGCGGTTTTCCCCTCGGCGGCGACGTAGGATCGAGCTTCGTAATTTGATTTGGCTCGAGAATATCTGCATAATATGACATTGAAAGCAAAATGCGTGGAGACGTTTATCCTCTTTCGCCGTTCGGGATATCTAAGCGGATGTCGACATTCCGTTCTGACGCTCGTATTATCGATCTGACAGCTTCCGTGGTAACAGCATATTTTGGAAATAGTTTCAAGTCTAAACTTCGCATTGTAGTTGACGTTGCGGTTACGAGATCTGGGCATCAGTTACAAAACTGATCAACGCGACGAGGAAAACTGGCTGGATAGTATATTGTGGCTATGCGCCATGGACGACGTTAAGACAGCCGCGTCTGAAGTTTTCATGGAGGAATGTGTCATCCTGAATCTGTTCAATCAACTTCGTACCGGGTTGACCACGGCCGAATCTTTTCCCATATCCACCCCTCAGGAATGCATATACGCGAGAAACGAACTCACGACATGCATCGCTGCGGATCGCAGAAACGGCAGAGAAGTTGTTACTAATGGAAACGTCGTGAGAAAACTGTTAAGGCACTTGAGAGAATCGAAATCCACGGTGTAACGCAACAGACGTATCAATTCTGTGTCAATTCCAAAAACGTTATAATTAATAGCTGAAAACATTTCTAATCGCCGTGTACGAATAAAGCTTCATGTAAAAATGTTTGAAACACCCGAGGTGAATATTTGTCTTCACCCAGAAAAAAGATTTATTTAGATTAAACAAGAGTGAGCTACGTTGAAATCGCGTTTCTTTGAATCTACTAAATTTTTATTTACTTCTACTAAAACACTTGTTAGATTTGAAGAAGCAGATAAGAATTTTCTTAGAAATTTCGGTCTTAATCAAATAAAATTTTGGTCGAGATAAGATTTGTTCGATTTCAAACCAACTTTTTTCCGGGTGCACTTTGTTAAACATTTTATCTTCCACGTATATAAATAAACATCCTATCAAGGAAAATGTTTCACTTGTCGAGTTGTCTATCACGATGATTAATCTGTGGAAGAAGAAAGGGTGCGCCCATGCTGGAGCACTTTATTCGATGGAAACACCTTTTTCCGAAATTACTCGAGAATTTAGTTAGTCAAGTGAGCGTGACAAATTTGTAAGAAAATTTTTTCCATCTAAGCAACACCGAGGCACAGAACAACTCCGAGACTGGAGGGTTAATTCGCCGTGTTTTCTGTACATACGCAGGTCTGACGTATTTATTACAGTACATACGTCAGCGCAAATTATGCAACGCGATAGCAAATGGTTTATGCTGGCTCCCGAGATTCGCATCAGACATTCGTCCTCAGTAAGTAGAGTAGTTACTCACCGGAGGATGCGCTCCCGCTGGGCCGCAACGACATGCCGATGGATGATATTTCGCCGGCAAGGAAATCTTTGTTTTCGCGGTGTCCATTTCGGCAGCCGGGATTTTTGTCCGGCATAATTTCTCTCTCTCTCTTTCTCTCCCTCTTTCTCTTTCTCGATGCCCTTTCGTAGCTTTACGGTCGTTCTTAATGGCGCATTGTCCCGCTCACCGCTGTCGCATCGGTGTCGAACCCCGCGTCTCTTCGGAAGATTTCGTTATTCGTTCAGTCGAAAGACATTGCGTGTACTTGGAGTGCATCAGCGAGGGTGCCGGTGAATGATAAGAGATCGCGTTCCGCGAAACACTATCTCTAGATTGCGCGGTTAAATTTCGTCACGGAAATGCGACCGCTCGTTACTTCACGAATCGCGGCCGAGTGGTTGGACAGACATTCTGAAGGTACTGAGAAACGAGCGTAATTACGACGTGTATTCATGTACTGGCGGCATCGGACTGCGGAAATCTGGTTATTAATTTGGCCATTTTCCACCGCAATTGCTGTATCCGTGGAGACTAATGCGAGTTTGAAGCAAATTGAAATATTACACCGCAACTACTTTGATTCAATGCATTGTGAATATTTTTCTCGCATATCTAGGATGTTACGTTTAAAATTAGCAGCACTACATTACCGTATAATTACGCGAGAAACGTGTGCGAATGAATATTTATTTCACCGTTGAAAGAACAATCGGATTACCGCACCGAGCTCGTCCCGCATTGAAATGAGAAAAAGTGATATAAGCTCAATGTGCATTGGAGGATTAAATAGTGAACATCATTAACTTTTTCAATCGCGTATATGCCGCCTTTGTGCGACACAAAGCACTGAAATTACATCGCCGGAACGTACGCGCAGGTACGGGGTGCGCTTTCGCGAAACAAAAAAAAAGAGAGAGATCGGGAGCTTAATCTACGTCGGGAAGACAAAGGGCGTTTATGTTTTCGTCGAGAATTAATTCAACGATGGAAAACATTAATCACCTTTTCGCGCCGAACAATGGCTGCCTCCGGTACGTTCGCGAATGAAAGAATAGACGGGGCGAAGCGCAATTAATTTCAATTATTCGTGGCGATTCGCGAGTACGGATGCAGGTGGAAGCAAATAGAGGTGAGGCAAGCCGCTGCGATCGAGACAAAGCCAATGAAGTCGAACGGATGAACATTAATTAGCAATTTGTAAATGGATCACCGGAAATAATCGATTCTACACTACGGGCAGGAAAGGGTGTAGGTAAATTTCTGCAAAATTGATCGAATCGTGAGTTTTAGCAAACAAAACCTCGAGTGTCGAATCGCAGGCAGAAACATTTCAACATTATCGGATCGTTCTATTGTTGTTACAGCGGCAAAGCCTCAACTTTTTATACGTATCGGCAATTAAGAAAACAATTAAGACAAACAATTTTAGCCAGATAATCTGCGAAAGGATTAGTAATGGGCACTGTGTAACATTTACCATCATAATCTGCTGTAATAGCACGCGTAATTCATCGCACATCCAGTCTTTAATTAAAGGCTCGTCGTAATCTCACGGAATAGCATGGATTTGTGAAATAAGAACAATCGGTGGAACAGTAGCTGAAGAGTGCGATGTTCAAACTTCACGAGAATTTAAATCCTTAAAGTTTCATCATTTAATTTAGAAAGTCGATTGCAAGCCGTGTAAAAGTTTCAGCGTAAAACGCTCGTGCTATTTCTGCAGACTTTGCTTCAATTTCTCAATCACGCAATACTGAAATAGCAATTGAAAAAAAAAATTCTATTTAATTTCAGTTATTGACGGTCACGATTTAAACAGCAAATAATAAATTGAAAAAACTACGGAAACGCGATATTACACGTTTAGCATGATTTATAATAGTGTTGTATAAATAACTGACTGATTTAAAACACGTGTATTTTTAATAGAAAAGAAATATGCAACTTCAAATCCTAAAGGTGGCTTTTAAGTTTCAGTCAAGCTTGGAGTTACTCGACTGGTCAGTTTCCGTAAATCTGAACGCACGACGATACTCCCAACGGCCTAATAAGCGACTTAATATTAAGGACCGCGTTGCGATGGAATGGGGACGCGATCCTCGTTCAATCACGGTGACCATGCATTACTATAAATTAAGTGTTTCCGAAAGGGGGTCAAGAGTCCACCGGAGGTCACAGCGGGGTTATCGCATCCACATTTTCCGCACACTTTTCGTTTTCTGTGCAAAATTGATCGCTTAATGTTATATAGTTGCGGGGAAAGCGTTCCGCGAGAAGATTCTGTATGAATAGATAAAAATACGGAACTGGGATGCCGAGACTGGAATGCACATTTTTCCAGAGTGCAATCGGTTATTCCAGGACGAATACAATTTTTGCCGTCAAAATACTTAACGTCCCTACGTTATATATAAATGTTTAACGCTCCCACATATTTAATGTAATGATCCCGATGATGGATGACTGATCGCGATGATAGATGTCTTATGGTAATGCGCGCGGTATATATATTCCGTATGAAAAATTGTAATGCGGTCTCATCGATTTCCGATACTCGTAATATCGTACAATACAACCGTATCTTGCACATGCTTAATAGCGCGGTACATCGGAATTGTTCCGATAGTTATAGATAATATTATTATAATGGGTGCCGGATTATATAATCTACTTTAGGAAGAAAGAAACAGCAACCCATTTTGGGGCCCACAATTAGTAATCGAGTTATTTGGATTGTTTCTAACTCTGGGAGAACTTTTCTTGTAGTTAAGCAACTTAACATTTCGGTTAGTGCCTCTTACGTGAAAATCAAGATTGGGAAGTAACTCGTTACTTGTCACGAAGTTACAGTTCCAGTTACTTTTTTGATAACTCTAACTTAACTTTGTTTCTTTCTCTTCGTCTGTAACTGTAACTTCACTCAGTTACATTTCTTCGATAACTGGTAACTAATTTAATAGTTGCATTAATAGTTATTTTATGTATTTTTTAAACCTCCACAGATCGCATTAGGCCTTGCATAAGCGCATAAGCGCCTTTATCGACACTTAACAATTTAAATGTGGATTTGAATTTTTTAGTTTCATTGCAAGAAAGTAACTGCAAATTACACGGAAAGACCGGCTAAGGCAAAACATAACTAAAATTAAAATGTTGCCGTATAAATAGTAGGGGCATCTACATTGTTTTGTGTTGCAACATCCGCTAAGTTTGCTGCACAAAACGCATATAGTTGTCTCCACTACTTGTCTTACCAATGTGAGTACGACAACCACAGATATAGCTGCCCCAAATATTACTATTTATTGGGTTTGTGCCAGCCCTAATTAGATATGTGATAATCATATCGGTCTCTCCGTGTGACGATACGTTACTTTTTGAGTAACTGTAACTACAACGCGTTACTTTTCAGAATTGGTAACTTGTAACTGTAACTAGTTACATTTTTAGCGAGAAAACTGTAACTGTAATTAGATACTTTTGTGAAGTAACTTTCCCAACCCTGGTGAAAATTATCTTTGCGTTACTGAATATCGACAGAACTAACTGCGAGAATTTTGATTAGTATTACTTAAAAATCTTGGGTATAGATAGAATAGCTAATTGCGATTTTTAGTTACACGGGGTAAAATTCGTAAAAGATTAGAGTGTGTGTTACGAGCAATCCAAATAATTCGATTGCTAATTGTGGGCCCCAAAATGGGTTGCCAACTGTCTTTTTTTCCCAGAGTAATGCGCGCGGTATATTCCGTAAGAAAAATTGTAATGCAGTCTCATCGATTTCCAATATTCGTAATATCGTACAATACAAACGTATCTTGCACATGCTTAATAGCGCGGTATATCGGAATTGTTCTGATAGTTGTAGATAATATTATTGTAATAGGTGCCGGATTACATATAATCTACTCTAGGAAAAAAAGGACAGCAACCCATTTTGGGGCCCACAAGTAGTAATCGAATTATTTGGATTGTTCGTAACTCAATCTAGGAAAATTTTTGACCGTTTTTTGTAGTTAAGCAACTTAACATTTCGATTAGTGCCTCTTAAGTGAAAATTATCTTTGCGTGACTGAACATCGACAGAACTAACTGAGAGAATTGATTAGTGCTACTTAAAAATCTTGGATACAGATAGAATAGCTAATTGCGATTTTTAGTTACGCGGGGTAAAATTCGTAAAAGATTAGAGTTACGAACGATACTAATTGTGGACCCCAAAATGGGTTGCTGTCTTTTTTTTCCCAGAGTAGAGAGCCATGTACGTACGAGGAGGATTGCGAGGATTAAACGCAATTTGAGAAAGAAAAATTGCACAATGCACGTAACTGGTACTCCCAGGGGATGTAAGTTACGTGTTTTACAATGTGTTACACGACTGTATTGTCTAGATCAAAGCACATAAGTACGACTTGCAGAAAGTTTAACGGAGTTATAAAGCTCGAGCGTCAATACCCCGCTAGCAATAAACTCCGAGCCTTGAAATATTTAAGGTCCACTGTGTAACGGGATTGTAACGACTGCCATATCGAATGGCGTATTAAACGTTTAACTATTGAAACGCGATCGCTTAAACAAAAGGATCAAATTGATGGCTTTTTGAAACGCTTCATCTCTTCGATGCGATGAGGTTTCACAAATTCGACAACAAATATTTTTCCCCGGTAACGCTAACAGGCTGTAAAATAGCCCGATGGTCTCGGCACTGTAAAATCGAAGCTCCCATACTTTTTATAGGAGACACCGTCACACGATCTCGAGCGTTGATTTTTCCTCACGATAAACGACCGGGCTTCTACCGAGTCAGGCCAATCTGTAATCTGCCTTAGCAGATAGGATGATTTCGAGACCGTAATCCGCGAATTTGCGGTTGAAATACTTCGCTCGCGCATATATTTAGGTGCTTGGCACACGATATCCCAAATCTCAGCGTTACGATAAAACGAAAAAAAAAAGAGAGTTGCATCACCACGAATCAACGGAACATTATTCGCGAGATGCTGGCTGGTCCCAGCTCGTCCGTCGGGTTGCATCTTACGAGGGCAGCTCACATTTTTCCGCGACCGTCGCGCGTGTACCATTGCGCTGCTGGCGAAAATAACTTCCGGGCTAGGCAGACAAAGGCACAAGTCGCGCAGCAACCTCGACGAGGACTCTTGACCTTTTCGAACGGATATCCTTCCGACGGTACTTTGTGCTAACGATCCTTTCGACGCTC